CATTGTTTTGATGGTCAGTTAAGACAAAGCAAGGGGGAAAATGGCCGGTAGTGAGTCAGGCACACTGGAGAAAAGCAGAATTTTAATGTTGCTTGAAAAGTAAACTCAGCTTGCTCTACCTAATGTTCCAAAGGCCAGATCCAAGATGACGCTATCGGGCCTTCTCTAGACAAGCCCGAATCAAGAAAATAACTGCTCCTCGGGTTGGCATGGTCTGCCTGGTCCAGAATCATTTGGGAAGGTGGCCAAAATGCTGACTCCTGGGCCTCCTCCCCTCTCTAGATGCACTGATGATCACAGATAGCATGAGTTTGGTACTGATGTCAGAAATCCCTGGGTGGTGTAAATAGTTAGCGTGCTCGGCTGATAGTTGAAAGGTTGGAAGTTCAAGTTTATCCAGCGGTGGCCTGGAAGGAAGGCCTGGTGAAATTCTTCCCAAAAAGTCAGATGCTGACAACCCGATGGACAGTTCTACTCTGGCATGCTTGAGAACACCATGAGTTGGCACGGACTTCACAGCAGCACCCACACTAGTATACAGACGTAAGCATGTATGTTGTTGTGTGCAGGTAAACTCATTTTATAAAAAAACATATGGACATATATAAGTATACACACATTTTATTAAAAAGGTTCTAAAGATCACTGGGGTCACAGGAGACATATTTTTCATGATTTACATGACATGAGCAGTGCCAAGTCCTAGCAGAAACCTACACCGATTGCCTTTATAAATAAAATAATTCCAAGTGAATCATATGTTGGAGAGCTCTCAAAACATACCAAACTGCAGCGTAAGTAGACAGAACTAAAACCAGAGGTACTTGCCAACTGAAAGTCACTTTTGCCTCAAATTCACTTTAGGGACCTTAAAAGATATATACATGGATGTGGGTCTCCCCAGAGAAGCCCTGGTGGCACAGTGGTGACGGGTGGGCTGATAACCACAAGGTCAGTAGTTCTAAACCACCGGTAACTTCATGGGAGAAAGATGCGGCTGTCTACTCCTGTAAAGGATCACAGTCTAGGAAACCCACAGAAGCAGATCTACCCTGCCCTACAGGGTCACTATGAGTCTCCATGGAAGATGGCTGTGAGTTTGAGGTCCCCTGCAGAGAGAGACCTACTAAATTTTAATGTCACAGAGCGAGATGTAGGCGACTTTATGCTGAAATGTTTCTGTAGTAATTCAAACTAGCTGCCTGGGTAAGAGAACCATGTGATCACCCACATGAAATACATTTGCTCACTTCTAAGCTAGTGCTGATCGCTTGCTTCTCTGTAAAACCAGAAAGTGGATGGTTGCTGTGACTCCCACACTGCTAGACACCTCTTGCTGATACGACACAAGCACAGCTTTCAGTATTTGTCTCAAAATTTGTGCATCAAGAACCAGGAGAGGTCAGCATGAGCTCTAGTCAAAGGGGTCAGCTATGCCCAAATCTGGATTATACTGTCTCAAGTGGCCTCACACATACCGACATAAGTGGTAGGTTTTCAGCATCCGTTCCTTTCTACCATTTCCTCATTCTTGAAATCTTTTCTCTCTTTTTCTATGTTGATCTTGTGTCCATGGACCCAGAGACATTACGTGGTAGAGTTCAGCACTTGAGAGAGCCTGTGACCTCAGTCCAATCCTCCTCTGTCCTTGTCCTCTCCCTGAACTTCAGTTTAGGCTTGCTCTCTCCCTGGTCCCTACCAGCAGGGGCAGCCTCACAGCTTTGCAATCTGTGCAATTGCACATGGCCCTGAGCTTAAGGCCCTTGAGTGGGGGTTGATCCACCTCGGAATTTGGAGGAAGGATCCAGTTGCAGTTCAGAATATAAAGAGAGAGTCATTCTGCTCACCACAGCCCCGTTCTTTCCATCTCAGCTTCCCTCAGTCCTCAACTCCCAGCTAGGCAGATTTTTGTCAACATCTTTGTTCCCTGAGTATGCATTAATTGAGGCGTCATTCAATTATCCTTTGACCCTTCCAAGGTAATTACATTTCCGTTTAACTTAGTATTTACGAATAGATATCATGATTAATTAGAGCCTGGCAACAAGTCCTCTCTGCTCTACATGAAGTCTTTTCCTAGCAATCGATACTTTCAAACCCTATCAATTATCATCCACTTGCACTTTCAGTTGCTTTGCAAACAATCCATATCTTGAACCAGCGAACTCTGTGTTTCTCTGGAGCTTATCGTGGCAGTTTGGCTGGATGATTTCACACGGCCAGATGATCCAGCATTGCTCTTCAAGTCTGGTTTTCACTTAAGCAAGCTAAAACAGCCCAGCAGAACACCTGTTTGGAAAAGGTCTGGCCACACATACATCAGTGGTCCCCTAGGCTGTCGTGGAATTCAGAAATCCGGATTAGAGAGTGGAAAGGAAGCAAGACGCACAGCCTCCTGCAAACACTCAACGTCTCTTATTTACTAAGCAATTGCACCGCCAGGCATACAAAGAGACAGTACATGTATAGTCTATAATATCTTGAAAGTGTAACCCAAGTTATTTTACTGAATGCAGTTAGAAAAAGCTCCCTTACAAAATGCAGTCAGCCTATGGTACTTTACTTAGTGCAGTCTCTGGAATTTGTATAACTTGCTATATTGTTCACAATCAGATAGGTTGACTGCAGACTTCACCTGGAAGGGCCAGAAAATGTTGGGAGTCCTATCTTATTTACCTGATTGTTAGTCGTTAAAAACTAGGCCCTGCTATGTATTTCATTAACAAAGACATCCTGAGACTGGCCAAAAGACTTCAAGAACCTATTATCGTTTGCTTGCTTATAGTCAGCAGCTGTTTCCTGTGATTACCCTGAAACCTGAGTTAATGTAAAACATCTATATGTGACTCCCCAAAGTATACATCCCAGAGCCAAAGGAATATATTCTCTCTCTATTGTGATTTCAAAGCACACACCAGAGACGGTCTGCTTTGCACTGCTGTGGTCTCCTCCCTGCTCTATCTTCTCAGTAATCCTTGCTTCCTCAGACTTGGACTGGGTCGTTGGCTGCACAACTTCAGGACAAAAGCCCTGCATTTCAGATGACAACTGGTCATAAACACCAGTTGTGGTGTTTATTGACACACAGCAACTGTGCTGTCCTTTCTAGCTAAAAAGCCGATCGTATAACTGTCGGCATCAACTCCTAGGCAGTAGTGTTCGATCGAATGTGCTGCCCCTCTCGTGAGTGCTGCGGCATCATCTCGCTGCTTCGTTTTCGTTCACAGAGATGGCAGTGAAACAGATCTTGTCTCTCAACCCCGCCAGACCCAGTGCTGGTGAGAGCCGCAGCAAGAGGAACGAGCAGCAGTGAAACCAACGGTTATCAAACAAAGTGACGGTGGAAACAAGGGAAGGAAATTGCTTGAGGTTTGGGAATGGTTCACTGGAAATTACAATGTTCCTGAAAACTAAGGGGGAAATTTTCCCAGCTGCTAAAGGACTGGATCCATTGAAAGCCACAGGCTAAAAGGCATGTGCGCAGGACCCACGAGTCACTGCTAACGGTGCTCACTGAAGACCAAACCAAAGTGTATCAGGACCAGATGGTGATACAGTGCTCAAACAAATCACCTAACATCCTATTTCACAGAACATAAGACCATGTGGAGGTTACGCTACATGTGACTATATGTCAATGAGAAACAATTGGGGTTTTTTTGGTTTGGAGATTTGTTTTGTTTTTACATCTCCTTTAGGACCAAGAGGTGTAGCCTATTAAAAAGAAGAAATGGAAAACACATTTCATTTAAAGCACATTTTCATCAAATAGTTTTAGAGCTAAAAAAGACCTTAGAAATCACTACCCTCAATGTCCTGATAAGAGTAATTGCCATGGAGTTGATCTCTTCAACTCACGATGACTACAAGTGTGTTGGAGTTGAACTGAGCTCAACAGAGTTTTGAGTGACTGACTTTTTGAAAGGAGATCACCAGGTCTTTCTTCTGAGGCATCTCCAGATGAACTTGAACCTCCAACCTATCGATTAGTGCCACAAATCACGACAAGTGCACACAGGAAGAGGCCTCAGTACCTCTGACCCAGTCTAGGTCCTAGCATACTGGTGCTTAAGGAAGTCAGATAATTGACCACTAAATATGACGGTATAGTTCAATCTAGGGCTTCAGAACCTGAAACGGCATGTTATTTTAATAGAAGAGCCTGGAACATAAAGCCTTTGAAGCACCACTGGCATGGTGGGTAAGTGCTTGGCTGCTAATCAAAGGCCAGTTTTACTTCCTGATAGTCTGCTTCCAGGAAGAGTTCAGCCTTGGAAATTGTACAGGGCAGTTCTACTCTGTCCTCCAGGGTCACTGTAAGGGAGAACAGACACACCAGCAAGGACCTCTCTGAAGGTCACAGGCCTCAGTATTACATCACAGTAATCATCTATCAAGAATGACTTTTAGAGGCTTTCTATGAAGGGCACACAAAATGTATCGCATAACTTTTATGCAAAATCTTCCTTGCTAGGTCAGGTTTTCCGCATGCAGTCATGGAGAATGAAGGAGATGTGCTCTGGCCCCAGAGAAACTGAACGAGACAAGGTCATCACTGAGCATGGGGCATCTTGCTACGCGGCTATTGAGCGCCAGAGGACCTGATGGTCACCGTAGTCCTCGAGTCATTGCTAGATTGGTGCCTTCACCTCCCTGTATTCTTCTTACTCATGGAAGGGAGTATGTCTCCCATTCAATTACATGTTTATGAGGGACAGGAACCACACATTTGCTGTTCATCTTCTCAGCCCCCGCATCTAGCACACTGCCTGGTGCACATAGTAGTAGATAAATGAATACAGAAATGAATTAATGATAGACTACCTTGTGAAGTGCCTATATTTGTACGTGTATTTATTAGCAACAAAGAGTGGTGCTCTAATCTGAATGCAGGCAGGAAAATAATGGCTTACCCTTAAAAATATATACCCATCGTATTAAGAATGCAGCAAATGTAATTAAATCACGTAATAAGGAAAAGCATAAAAGCATCCACTTACTTGCAAGCAAGCCAACGCCACTTGCGAGGGATCCAACCCAAGCCGTTTTTCCTTTCCCTTCCCCAAAGGCATCCAACCACTCTACGTACAAGACGCCAACAGCTAACGGGGAGCCGTAGCACAAGAACTGTGTGAAGAAGGACACGAACACAATCACCCAGCCCCATCCGCCATCAGGAGACTTTCTCAATTCCATCGTAAGGTGAACGCAAGACGGGTCTTTCTGAAGGTCCTGGACCAAAACAAACAGAAAAGGCAAAAGTACAGTCAAGATGTTTTTCATAACAATACAGAGAAATCGTCCCCCCCCTTTTTGCACAAGACATAGTCTGATTGCATGCTTGTTTGATTATTGACAGGCAGATCATTTTGTCTTTCCATTAAATAGTGTACCCAGAATAGTTCCTAACTTAAATGGTGTCATGATGCTGGCTTTGGGCCTCTGATTGATTTATTTGAAGCTTAAGAAAATTCAATCTTTTAAAATATTTTTGAGTGTCAAGTATATTTTCAGCATGAAGGAGATAACTATATGGTTTTCTCTTTATGATATTAAATAGTACAATAATAAAAGACTAATTCATAAATAATAAAATCTCAATGTTGGCCTGTTGAACTATTTATGAATAACTGCACTAAATCCTCTTTGGCTAATGTATTTTGGTTATGATTATGTTAGTTTATTATAATTTTCAGACTTTTAAAATTCATCATTAAGCCTTGTCTATTTTTCATGTTTTCAATATTTTCCAGGCATGTGTATAAAAACATTTACTTCATAAAAATAATTCATAAATTTTCCATCTTTTCTGAGTTCTGGGAGAGGTTACGCAGTAATGGATTCAGAGGCCTCTCTTTATCCCATAGTGTGTTCTCGTCACCAAAGCAAGCTTACCGTCAAGTGCAACAGAGTCCTCTTTGCACACAGATGTTGCCAAGCAGGGTTTCATCAGACAATAAGCAAAGAGAGTAGGCATATCGCCCATGCATTCACTCATTCATGTGTGTAGTTAGATGATGAAGCATTTGACCAACATACGAAAGTCCTAGTTATAATCGTCATTTACCTGGGCCTCGGTGAATTGTTTCACTTTGGCTTTCAGAGTACAGGCAGAAATCATGTCACCACCTGGCTCTGTATACACTACCTTGTCATACTTAATTGCTGAAAGATAGGGCAATTTGTACGTAAAACCATATTCTTAGGACATCTGACTACATAAACAGAATATTCCAAGCTCCCAATGACTTCAGTCCTCAGATGTAACCAGACACAGCCTGCTAGTCAGAGCCTGCTTTCTTCAGCCCCTATTGCTACGGGTGTGGGGTGTGGTCAACTCAGTGACAGTGAGACCCTGGGTCCAGCGGAACAAATCCCTGCCAGCCCTGCGCCAGCATTAAAGTAAACAATATAATTCTGATCCTGCGATTGACAATTGTAGTACTTTACAATTCTGCTCAGAATCCCCTCCAAAGCACAAAGAGTCTAAACCAGATTTT